CTCAGAAGCCTTCCAGTCTACTTGGGCAGGGTTGTTAGGAACTTCTTTATGCCCTTGAACACCATCCTGGGGAAACCTAGCTACTCCTTCTCCCACACCGTTGGGTCAGGTTTGAGTGGGCAGGGGTGGAAAATGAGCAGATATGGCTCATCCCCCTGCACAATTTTTTGACCCATGGCACTAAGGTCAGTGCAAACTGCTTCTAGTAGCAGAACCCTATACTTTCCCTGAGTTATCCCAAAGATTTCTCTACTGAGAAATATGGGGACACCCATACAGATCCTGATCCTTCCCTTTTGCAATTTGGTCTGTACAGCTGATAGGCATTAGAGCTAATCCATATACTCGGTCCTCAGAAATCCTTGTGTAGGTGAAGAGCACAACATTTCCTAAAAGGCTTCATGATGTCATAGTGATGGGACAGCATAAAAACAGATTGTTAACTTAAGAAAGGTATTCTGTGCCCAAGTGCTTGTCTAACATCCCTTTCAGTTAAATAGTGGCTTTAATAAAAAGTTATTACCAAAGACAAACTACTACTCAAGTATTCCGTGTACTATCACAGCTACAACACTGCAACACTATTAACATTTGGAGTGCACATTTTTAGCAAAAACAATTCAGAAGTTGGGAAAGAGCTGACTACAACTACTTTCCTGCATTCTGAAAACCTTTTTATTTAATCCTGCACATGTTAATGACCCATCATGTAGAAGAACCACAATTTCAGTGCAGACAAAAGTGACAATTTTTGCCTGATCTAGCTACAGAAAGCAGCGTATAGCTGTGACCAAACTTGGCTGCAGACAGCTTCAAAAATGGCTGATTGGGTGAAAATCTAACCCCTCATTGCGTGAGGTATCAGATAAAGGTGTTTCAAAATGTAACATCTTGTGTAACTTGTGTCTGTACAGCTCCCAGTCTGTCCCTGTTTTTAGAATGGGAGGGAGGAAAGGAGTGGAGGGTGTTCAGTCTTGGGGGGGGGGTTCAGCACCAGCTGGAGAGCCCCAAGAATGAGCTCCCTCCTCTTCCCACCACCACTCTGAAAACAGGAGCACTGGCAGAGAGCCCTGGCCATTTCTGCGGGAACCTGGCTGCAAGCTCCCAGCCCACAGCTAGATTCCCCTCTCCCCTGAAACCAACAGTGAATTTCTGTTTGGTCTGGGGTAATGTTAGAACAATTTCTGCAAGGCATTCTGAGTTACGAGTTATAGCTGGGAGCTGCACTTCTGTCTGCACTGCTCTCTAGGGCTGTATACAGATATCTCATTTGAAGCTGCCCCGATTGATCCAAATAAAAAACTAGGACAAAAAAGGAGCAGGAGAGCCTTTTATGCACATAACCCTTCCAACTGCCTCTGTAACTGGCTTATCCCTAAAATACATGGCAGTTAGCTTGAATGAGCTGCAGTTAACCTACAGATACACATAGCATTGTCCCAGGAAAAAAGTGTTAGCAGTGCTTCGCAGATACTTCAAGTAGGACAATGGGCTTGCAAGTCTGCAGAATCTCAGAACAAAAGGCTTCCACCCTGGAGAAATGAAATTTCTGTTTATGCCCTCAGAATGCATATTTCCATGCTACGTGCACTTGAGTTTGGGGCTGAAGGGGAAGGAGATGTGAAGAAATCCATTTCATTACAAACTGCAGGATTTTCCATTGAAGAACCCAGCTCAGCTGGCAGTTGCAGATTGCATTACATATTGCTGTATTTGGAGGATGTGTGATCCTTAAGCACTGGTAACTTCTGTGCTTTGAACTGTTATTTGTTTGACAAGGTTGGGCAGTGGTATGACGTGGCAAGTTCTGGCTTGGCATTGAGCAGAAGCTCATTTCAGAAGCCCTTTGCAGCATGTTGCTGAAAAGACATATACTATGCCATGTCATATTATTGATTAAAGTAGAGTTTATGTTTTTCTGAGGGTTTGTTTGTAGCACTATGGTGACAACCTACCTACACTGATTTACTGATTCAGGTCTTACACATAGTTTACCTACCTCCTTCCAAAACTCTCCACTAAAAGCCTACCAAAGACAGATTTGCAGCACATATTACATGCGTAAATATGTAATTGAGCAAAATTCACTTGCAAGCTATTTGATTGGGACTAAAGAAAAAAATACACAGGTGTTTCTAGGACAGTAAGCAAAACCTTTGGTCTGTGCCATGAAGTTGCTTATTACCAAGTCCTTTTAAGCATTAGCCATTTTATCCAAATTGGTCTTTTGGATAAATAAGACCAATAATCTTCTTTCTACCATTTTGGTGTGTATATTTTAAATAATTAAAGTAGCTGAGGCAATGGTATCAAAGTCAAACTCATAAGCCTATCACCTATAAAATAAAGCTTACAGCACATGGGAGAAAATTTGTCATAAATGTCTAACAGCCTTCAATGTATTTCATGCATCAATTAGTGCTATGCATATAAGCTAGGAAGGAAAAGGTTTTTAAACCTTCTTCTGAAGCATTGAGCTTAATTAGTTGATATGACAGGAAACAGAGTTGTTCACATGCAGGGTGTTGTTGACTGTGAATATAGTGTGGCAGGGTTTCATCTTTAAAACTGTTACTTGCGGAAATAGGATGAGTCCACAGTTAAAACTGCTCTATGGGACATAATGCCTTGTCTTGAACACACATGCAGACAGAATCGAAGAAGGAGCTTTTACCAAATCTCCACTTTGCATTCTGCACATGGGCCATAATAATGGTAAATTCTGAGTTTGAAGAAGTACAAGGACCTCTCTCCCCTGCCTTGAGAGTGGAGGAAGAAACTGGTTGGCTCCACATAAAGAGCATACTTTATTATTCAAAGAACGGGGCAATAGTTACACAGGGTAATGAGAAAGGGATTGGACTGGTATAGAATTCTGCTTCTTGACATTGTATGAATCCCAAAGACTCAGTGGCTCAATTATCTTCATTTTTGCCAGTGTTTATGTATGTGACATCTGCATCACCAGCAGG